AATTAGATCACAGATGATTGCTTTCAATGTAAGGTAGATGAAGATGTGCAACGACTTGACTAAACTTACTAAGTCTCGAAAACNGTTTAGTAACTACTGGAAGCTTCCCAAAAATTTCATTCATGTACTACATGCAACATGCTTGATGCTAACAAGTCATTTGACAATTTGAGACAAATACATGATCTGAATGGTCAAAACTTAATTGAAATTGATATATAATATTGCTAATAACTTTAAAAAAAGTGCAAATAAAAACGGTAAAAGGATTAAAAATGTTTTAATCAATAACTTATGAAGAAAAACATTCGACTTTTGTCATTTCGGAAATTTTAGTAGATAAAGGAAAATGCAGAATTAATTGTCAGAATCCTTCGAATACATAAACCTGTATGAATCTAACAGGTATCTTAGATCAGGTCTAACTAAAATATTTCAAAAATGTTCAGTATTGCACAGATACATTTCGATCTAAAATGTCTCTCTGCTCTGACAACAAAGTGCAAGTTGGATGAAACGAATAAATAATCAAAATATGCATAAATTAGAACTCAGAGTATTTCACTTTGATTCAGCATGACAGTAATTATGAAGCTTGTTATCACTACAGAACTGCAGACTTCTAAAAAGCATATAGTGGCAGATGACCATCTAGAAAAGCTGCCAATCAGTAATCTAGAATTCCTTCTTGATAAAAGAAATGATGTATTCCGGTGGTGCTCTGAATGTACTGTAACGGTTCTGAACAACGTTGTTGTTGTTCCGATCCAAACTCACATCATATCAATAAAAACGGCACAAAAAGGGTAATTAAAATATGAGAGACAATTTTAATGGATTGGATGATACCTGTTCCGCTGCGATTGTATTTTATTTGTTACTGATCATCCCAATGCTACACCTCTCTTTTTTTAAATATACGCATATTACAATTTAAAAAATAATGTTCAGATAAAGTGGTAAATTGTTAGGAGGCAATTATTAAAAATAGCACTATCGGATGCTCTTGTGGAATAACAAATTCACTGTCCTCTGTAAAAGTGCTCTTATTCAAGAAAACCGAGTCCTTCTGAAGTTTTGGATAACACGATTTTCAGAACGGAGTAATAATAATTACAATACTTAAAATTCGGAATTTTGTACTTTAGGAAATCGTTTTCGCACAATTTAAGTAAAGTTTGTCATGTTTTGAAATGTACAAGGTAACATTTCAAGCCAAATATTCATCCATTTTCACTTCAAATTAAGCAGAATAATTGAACTTAAGATGGATTTCAAACGAGAGAAACAAAAAGAAATATAAGTGACCTCTTTCGGTTTTCTATCTGACAAGACTCCAAGGTGTAACTTGAAATAAAAGATTATCCAAATAGAGTAAGGAAGAAACAAACGAATGACTGTGGAATAGCATAGGAAATTTGATTGGGAACTTAAAAACTTGACGGCTTATTCATATGGAAAACAAAAACAAATATGGAAAACATTTTGATGAGAAAAACTAGAAACACTGAAATGGAAACCAAATCTACAAACCTCTTGCAGCTATAGCATCACTTGCCATAGTATGTATTACTAGTGTAATTATTCTTAAAGCCTTTTCACTTATTCTTTGTTTTGAAATTCGTTTTATCATCAGCGATATTGCACTGACAATTGTAGATTACGGATTTTTTAAGCAATGCTTCCTTTCCTTCTGAAGCTAATCTTTATTGTTAAACTTAAGTGATACATAAAGATTATTGAACTTTTAAGCTTAATATTATTTACAAAGTGAAATTAAACACAGTTTTAACAGTAGTATAAAGAATAAAATGTTAAATCCATTTTTATGAACGACTCGTTATTTTTTATTTAAAGCAATATCATCAGTATATGATTTCATCATTGCTTCCTTTAACATCATGTCGTCTGCGTCGTCATTGCTCACCATTCCAAATTGCACTTTTACTCGCGGTGGTTTCCGGGGTCGATGCGCCTTTATTTTTTCCATAATTTTATCGATTAACAGAGTTTCCAAGTTAGACACAGGTACCTCGAATGCTAAGCTTAGAAACAAGCCCGTAAAATATGCCATTGCCACGGCTATAGCAAACTGGTAAAGCTGAAAAAAGACTTCACGAGCTTGTAGTGTTCTCAGTAACAAGACTTACTTGATCTAAGCTGAATAGCATATCAGCACTTTCAAAAGCTGTTTAAAGATTACGTGACAAATCATAATATTTTGATATTGTTCAACAGTTATCGATCTTCTATATTACAATTCGTCACAGCATTTATAATATGAATCTTTTTATTATAAAATATCAGTGATTTGATATTTTTATTTTTTTAGGAGCAAAAAACAAAATTATTAAAGAACGTGCCATTTGGTAAACGGTAGTGAAATGGAAAGCATGTGGTCGACTCAAATAGTAAATTTGTAGCAGAATAGGATGAATGAGATATGCACAAAATGTTATACGACTTAATGGTATCCAGGCTCGCCAACCTAATATATCATTAACCGCTCCTGAAATTGGAACCAACATTGGTGATTTCTGCCAACATTGTCACTGATTGCAACATGTATTCCCATAAGGGAGTAAATGTTGCTGAGGCTAAGCATTCAAAACTTGGAAGTCGACTGGGGCATTGGAAACACAAAAAGACCTTGAATATTTAACAGAGCCGACCTCCATATCCAGTAGCACATGCGAATGTAACCCATGCTAAACTCAACGCATACGCATTACGTCCGAATAAAGCGTAAATAATACGTGCTGCGTCTGATATATCGCCTGTTCGAGCATAATTATACAAACCAAATACGGCTAGAAGTCCAGAAATTGTAGACAGCATCCAACCGGCTACTATTTTCCACTGAAAAAAAATGAGAAATAAAAAACCCGAAAAAAAATGAAATTACTTCTGACAAAGAAATTTCCTCCTTTTTTTTGTTCAAATTAAAAAATACCCTAGGAAATATGGGTCGAAGTGTACATTTATGTATTGCGTATCCCACCAATATACCGATTATGTACGGACTGCAACGAATATACGGCTTCACATAGACATCCGGCCAGTATGTGCTCAGATCCTGCACTCTGCAATTATCTCATCAGCTTAAGAAAGTAGACCATCGAGTTAATTCAATAGCTTAGTTCAGCACCTATGTTTTTCATTTCGTAATTCATTATACAATATTTACACTTGGTTTTAAAGAACTGACTGGTTTCAAAAAATTATCAAAGAACGAAAAACATACAGTTGCAGTTTAGCAGTAAGTATGGGAGCAGGTGGATAGTTATTTGCGAGAATGATGAATAAATGTATCAGGGATGACATGGTAATCAGCGACAACGCAATGATGATGCCAACAAGCTGATTTCTACAAATTTGGCTTTAAGCTTAATTTTTGCTCGGAAGGTTTTTGTGTCAGGTTTCCTGTGACAAGTTTAGAACTGACAAATATGTAAGTAAAAAGCTCCATACTTGACAAACAGATAGTATAAATAAATGATTAACCAACTTGTACAGAAGTATAAGAAGTACTGGTGAAAATATATGAAACTGCATGTCATTAGCCATATACCATGTCCATCCCATGCACTTCAAATATTATAGCTTTCATATTGATTTGATTTTGCAAAAAATTTTACAGAAGAGTTGAAAAAAATATATTTTAAATAAAACCCGTAATATCAGTGAATTTTAGAAATGTAATTGATATATGGAGTCGAATACCATGTGATAAAGAATAAGAAGGGCTAAATAATTTAGCTTTGTATATCTATGGCTGCATTTAGGGCATGAATATTTCTTAAGTTCCAAACACCAGATGCAGTAGACATTATTTATGAAATAGAATAACAGATAGGTCAAAAATGAAACACTATGTCAAGAATCGCGAAAAACTTACAACTTCAACATCTTGCAACAAAAAATTATTCATATAAATTAGGTTAGTCCACCAACTTCTGCGACAATAGTTTGCTTCAATAGGCCGCCAGAATGGTCCATCGAAGAAATGCGTAAACAGCGTGACATCCAGAACCATAATCATTAAATATATGGGAGTAAGCCTTCAACAAGCAAATAAAAAACATATGCTACATCAATGCTGTTGAAGATTAAGATGTAATAAGTAGAATCCTGGTATTCTTGTTAGAGGAATAAATACAAACCTGATATATCGATGAATGTAGAAAAGCGACCACATATCTATTGAATATATTGAACGACCTTTTGCAGCTTCGGCTTTAAACTTTTCCATAAACAAATATGAAGTTAGCATACCACTGAAAATTAATACATAACTAAACATTATAATTTAAACATGAATAATAAAATCCAAAAACACCATAGAATTTCCGAAACTAAGTGAGAATCAAATTGAATACCACAAGTCTGAAATAATTTAAAATCTTTGACACTTCAAGTACAAAAAAAAAAAAAAATCGATGAATTATCGAAAACAGAACTATCACCTGAGATAGAAAAATGAATCAACAGCAAGCGGTGCTTGCACAATGATAAGATTGAAAACTTTCTGCGGAAAGGCAATCATTGCTGGTAATAGATTATCTGAAAAAATTCACCTAATAAGTGTGGCGAAAATCAAAGACTTTACCCTTCATAAATCTAATTTTTAAAGTATTCCCAATTAAATATTACTTGCAACTCTCTTCGGGTTTATGTCTCGTACAAAAATACTTTTTAATTTTAACACTTTGATTGCTTAACGAATTTCAAAACCAAACATACCAACTGTTAGACTACTGATGATATAATAATATGAATGACCGAGGATGATCCAGAACATACTAAGCACTCTTGTACCATGAAGGCAATGTATTTGATTACTTTGTTTCTCAGTTCTTAAGATATTTTGTCCATTGGTGCAAACCGAAAATGCTAATAACACTTTTAGGAACCAGTCTGAAACATAAAAAGTTAAAAGAGTAATTTAACCGCAGAAAATTTCAACAATTATTAGCAAACCAAGAAATGAAGGAAGAAATTCAGGTTAATTTCTATTTTTTATTGATACTTTTCTCCAGTTTATTGTTTTATTAAGCCCTGCTCTGGGCATTAGAAGTCTTCTCATCGCCCGGATTATATAAGGCAACAAGCTGATTAACGACACGAAAATTATCACTTCATGAAGGATCAATCTCAACCTGTGGTAACCAATAAAAGCGGTAGTTGGCAGTGAAATTTCCCACACAAAAACAAAGATTTTTCGGAAAATTAAAACCAGCCTACTTTGTTTTTTACTGCACATCTCATCATCTTCATTTTTCAATTCCGTTTGAAAAACAACATAATCATAGAGGGTGCCGAAAAGCATCAACACTAATAAAAAAAGTACGAAAAATCTGCAAAAAGTTCACTTTATTATGTTGAAACAGAAAGTCTGAAATTTTAGGAATTAATGAGAAAACCGAAAGAATCTAAGAGCAGGCCTTCTTTATTTTTAGAATTTTAAAACATTTTCAATTCTCAAAATTCATAGACTTTTAAATGATTTACGAGATTTAAAATAACCGTAAACTTTGAGTTGGATTTTATGCTAAACTAAATTAAAAGATCTTGATGTCCGCAATCTCAACAGTATTAAACATTTTATTCCAGCAGAAGTAAATCTCCCAATAATACTGGAAATAAAAAATATTAGCAGCTTATATTAAAGCCCTCAATTTTGATATATTTTAAGTTCGAACGCATCCAAAAAGCTATCATCTAAATTACTACATGTTATAACAAACTTAAATCTAGATCAAAGTAATGGACTTACAACACAATCAGTGAGCTCGAATCATGGGAAAGCTGAGAGTGAGGCAAATTATTGCGACAAACAATGTCCACATTGCACACCACTTGTCGGCCAATCGCGTTCTCAGCTGATTTGTAAACTGTAATTTGAAAAGGTTGAACTTTCAAACTTGATAATTTCTTAGGAGTCCGCATGATATAACGCAACAGCATTTTCAATTTTTACTGTTAACATTTCCAGTCAAACCTTTCGAATTTTAGACTCAAAGATTTTGAGTCTTAAAATTTAAAAAAATGACCTAATTCGAAAATTTTTTTACGTCATAATTCGTGCAAGAATCTGGCGTGCAGATGCCATAGTTGAGAAGTGGAATTAGAGTAAAGCATCTGTTATTTTCATCATTTGTTTCATTTGAGCGCCAAGTGTTTGGACCTCTAAAAAGAATAACTTTAAACAAATTAAATTGAGTTGGAGGATATTAGAAAACTCCTCCTTCAAATTTTAGTTGTATCTGAATGCTAAGATTTCAAATGAAATGAATCTGAAGTAGAATACACATCATGAAGAAGGGAACAGATGGAAAAAAAATCTAATTGGAAAAATGCAGATGAGAACTGGGACAGTTTGCTAAAAGTAATGAAGGAACAAACCTGCAATGTTCATTAGGATCCTCAATAGGGTTAGAACCAATATTTCTGAATGGATCAGCTGAACTGTATGGCTGGAAGCTGGCCAAGCAATACTGACCCGACCATCTCTGCCTAAACAAAATTTCAGTTGATAGTTTGAATCTTTTGAATTTCCCATATAGGAATAGACAATGGCAAAATTATCATGTTTTGGAAGTAAAAAACTTGTTTATATGAATTCTCCAGTGATTGAAATGCTGAAGAATAAGAAAATATACTGCTGACGATTTTTGACAATTGAAATACGTCGGCAAGCACTCCACGATCCGATCCAAAGATTATTGCCACTTAAGATACCAGCCGGTACCTTGCCCATCGCATCTAATACTGCAAAAGATAGAGGAACAGCTGATCGACATCAAAACTACTTATTGCGTGAACATCGAAGTAAAACAAAAAACAAAAGAACTATCAATTTAACAAGGAAGGATGCTATATGTACGGGAAGAAAAAGCCCCCATATATGATAAAAATATCTGCAACAAAATCATCATATTATTTGAAATCATACCGTTGAAAATCCATCGATGATTTTGATGACTACGCATTTGAAATTCACAAGTACAATTAGAACAGTCAGTGTGCATATTAGAACGAGTATAATCCATAGCTGTCCATAGGAAATAAGCTATATCGGCAAGACAAGGTGATGACACATCATATTCCTAAAAATAAAGTTCGAAAGTGTTCAAATATTTTGTGGAAGATTTCCTAACATCGAAAAAGCTCCACATATGTCGATGAAGCTTATCCGGCTACTAAAATTCAAACCAAAACAAGATCTTTTCCTTTATTAATTCTTTTGAATTTCTTAAATTAACGATTATTGGCAATGCCCTTCATACATTCGGAAAATACTAACAAAACTATCAGTTTATCATCAGCATCATTACAGGATACTAGTAATTTTAACACCAGCTTAGCAAGCCATAGGAAAAAGTTCACAAGTTCACAATGCCAGCCATTTTAGGCGACTCGTTTAATTCTCCCTCTGAATAGACTACCGGACTAGTTACCTTACACAGACTAAAGTAGAAAGACGTCTTTCGGCAAAAATCATGACGTGGTAACAAGGTCAGAAGTTTGAATAGTATAGCATTCTTGTCTTTTAAGATTTCAATTTAGCACCAGCTACTTCTCCACATTTGGGAAAGATATAAGTATTAAGGAAACGATAAATGTACAAGCAATAATGGAGTTAATTTATTAAGGATAATTGAGTAAAAAACAAAGGAACGAAAAACGAAAGTTCAAAATACCTTCAACGGTTCCAATAAACTCAGTAATCGTCTGATGTATGACTCATCACCTGTTTTCAATGCTTTCTCAAATTTGCTGGTGGGACGAAGAAATAAAGTTTTGAAGAAATCCAAATCAACGATTAGCTGCCACTGTGAATCAGCGAAAAATTCAGTAACAAATGCTCCCAGCACATTATCTGCATCTTTCTTGCCCTCCAGTCGTATTTCTTCTTCCAAGAAGTCATCAGCAATAGCCGGGAGAAGTGGAAAGATCAGAAGGAAACAAATCTCTTTCAAAATTTGCATCAGGACTGTCGCAATCAAAGCAACAAAATCTCGTAAACTACGGTCCTAGATGGAAACTGGCACTGAGTGAATTTCCACACCAACGTAGTGACAAATCATTGCCTTCCGATGATGGCAATATATCATTTCAATAAGCTTATCAACATAGCGCGATGTTATCAGTATAATTAAAAGGAGTACAAGCAACAGATAGAGCTATGCTGTGTGGCTGTAGTGAAATCGATCATCAGTTTAAAACTCAGTTTCTATCTCATCCCAGCCTTGTGAAACGAAATAGCAACAATTGGACGATAATGGGCCAGTTCACGAACTCAACCACCCTTTACTATGAGGTTTCATAAGCTGTTGATGATAGTGGTGAATTATCAGAAAGACAAGAAGAGTAGTCGAGGGAATTATTTACTTTAATTTTAACCTGAAGCATCTCTGATAAGCAAGTAGTGATAACATTAACTGCTTCTCATCTCTCAAAATCTTCTCAATTTTCTCCTTCAAGTGAATAAGGATTCATAAATTCCACCATTTAATGTTCACCACTCTACGAATAAGTCATCGGAGACATTTAGTAATAAATACCTCGTTTAATAAGTGATGTAACGCGGAAGATAAAAGTTATCACAGGTTTAATTTGTAACGGCATCAGTAATTAATAGCATTAATGAGAGCAACAGCAGAAATTAACCACAGATGACCATAAAGTATAGGTAACCCCGGGTAATTCTCATGCACAATATATTGTTAATTATTATTTAGTAATAGCACTGATTAAAGTGGGAGAGCTCTGTAACATATTTGCAACGATCAACTTCTGATAAGGCATGTATCAGTACCATGAAATTATCCAAATCTGCATCTTTGTTAAGTTCGAAAAAAGCTGCAAATTGGTAAAGTACTAAAAAAGAGATCTGATGCCAGGAAGTTATATTATATAAAGCGTGAAATCACTCCCATGACAACGGTTAACGGAATAAATCAAAACAATTTATCCAATAGATTTTTTAAGTGATAGTGTTTTTTGGGGATCTTTGGCATATAAAATTCTCGGCATTTATTAAAGAACTATAGATTTCTAGAATTTAGATGATCATCTATAAAAAAAGTGTAAATGGATCTGTTATAACACGCATAATATAATACTCCAAAAATCCTGCCAACATTGTTGGTTTCATTTCCATTGATCTTTAATGCCCAAGGACAAGTTCACTTCAGATCTTGTGCAATCTGCAAGCAAACGTTTTCCAACTAATGCACATCTCGGAAGATAGGAAGCGTGTAAATGCATACATGTACGCGCCAGGCGAACCTTCACCGTGCAAAGTGCTGATTGATGCAAAGTCGGCAATTAATAATTCAAAAAATTTTCTTTTAATTTAGTAAGAAATGCTAGGAAATGTAGCAGTATGATTATCTTTACTTGTTCACATATGCAACGAACAATTAGAACATCTTAAATAGAAACAAAACCAACAAACAACCACATTGAACAAATAACTAGAAAATTGTGGAAGTGATTTAAAAAAAATGTTGATCAGCCACAAAACATGATCTTTCAGTCTCTTGAAACCTGGGTAACACTGTTTGTTAAAATGATTCTTTAACAAACAACTACAATGAACAGATAACGGGATAACCTTAATTTTACATTTTAATGACTACTAACTAATACTGAACTGTTAAGTAACTCGGTAAACTTAAAGTTATGTTGGAAAGAAAATCAGAATGATGAATAAAACACCAAATACCAAGTCGTATGCTGCTGAAACACTTGACATAAGCATTCTGAAACAGAAACGGATAAAAACAGATCAAAACTTATGACGACGTTGGTGTGGGAGCAGATGTTGGAGGAGGTGGTGGTCGAGAAGGACGCATGATGGGAGGTGGTGGAGGGCGCATCATTCGCACTGAAGGAGGTGGTGGTGGAGGGAAAGGCGCACGACCTTGCATAGGAGCGAACGGTGGTGGAATTCGAGGGAAACCCCGCGGAGGAGGTGGTGGAGGTGGCGTCGGCGTCGGTGTTGCTGGTGGTCGCATCCCGGGTGTTATCGGTGGTGGCGGCGGCATTCCCCACATTGGTAACGGAGCTGGAAATTTCAATTAGTGTACAATCATTCGAGGAGTGAAAAGCAATCAACGCAAATTTACGGAAGTTTTTGGATTCTAAATTAAAAGGTTGTTAAATAATTCGATAACTCGAAAAAATCTTGACACGCAAAAAGCATAAAATATAAGCTTCACTTAATTTTATTTAAAAGACTATGTAAAATAGATGAAATACAATGTGATGAAAACAAAAGTATCAAATACTTACCACTAATTGGCGGCGGTGGTCTGGGAGTGCCGAGCGGTGTTGGCGGAGCAGGCGGTGGAGGTGGCGGTGGAATTGGTGTTGCGCCAGGTGTAGGCATAGGTGGTGGCGGTGGTGGAAAGATTGCTGGCGGTGGTCCAGCCATCGGCGGGATCATCGGTGGAGGCATTGGAGGACCTGGTGGTGGTGGATGAAGTACAGGTGCAAGTGGCAATTTCCCGTCAGAGAATATCTGATTTGGTTTGTCTGAAGGAAACAGAGGATTCTGTGCAGCTAGCATTCGCTCAGCAGCAGTACCGTGTCGTTCGCCCTAAATTTTGAAGAAGTTGGAGCTAGCAAGACTGCTAATTTCAGCAACTTCAATTAACACCAAATCTAAGACTGCTAAATCTGGCCTTCGAAATCTCATGTTTTTTTTTGAAAAACGGTTCTAAAAGTTTAAGACGTTAGAAATATGAAGGATCAATGGAGATGTTTTAAAAAATCTTTCTTTTTTAAGGGCTAGGACTTAAACCGAATTTTTATATAGTCAGTAAATACTAGTAGTTATTTCCTTGCTCTACTCAAAAATTCTGTGAATAAAGACTGGTTCATAAGTTAAAATAGTACTCTATAGATCTACTTAATGGAGAAAGCACTGAAACCAAAAGAAGGAAATAGAGAAAAATAATAAACCTTTGTATCCTTTTTGAATGCATAACTCACAGTGATAGCCCGATTACAAAGAAACTGCCCATTCATAGCTTCAATTGCTGAATCTGATGCTTCAAAAGATGCAAAATTCACAAATGCAAAACCTTTACTGTTACCCGTCTCAGCATCACGCATTATTTTTGGAACCTGAAATATACAAACTTATTTACACGGAAACTTAAAAAATGATAAACAATATTCTCAGCTATGTTTATAAAATATGCAAAACCAAACATATTTTTTCGTATAAGAACCATAGAGTTAAAGTTAAATCCATCTTCTTTCTGGAATGAAGAAAGAAAGGGAATTTTTTTTTACAAACATATGATGAGAAACCAGAACAAAGGAAAGCGTGAGCTTAATTATCAAATGAGAGAAAAGATTCATATCATGTCAAACAATTAGTTAAGAAAAGACCTGTAAGATAACTCCAAATGCACTAAATGTATCAAAAAGTAATTTCTCATCCACTTCTGGATCCAGATTGCCAACGAATACATTTGCACCAACATCCATATTCTTCTCATGGGCTGACGCCTTATTTACCTGGAAAAATCGTTTAATTCACAGATTTTATTAAACAGGAGGAAAGGACCTGGTTTATTAAAATAGTCCTCCCTTCTATTAAATAATTTCACTAAATTATCATTAGTAAAGCCCAACCATAACAGGAAAGCTCGGAATCAGTGAAAACTATTAAATATGAGAGAAAGTAATTTATGAACAAATATGAACGGCCAAGATTTTTGTGAACACAGAGATCCGCTTAGATTTTAGGTTGTACTGATTCTAAACAAAACAAGATTATTCAATCTGAGCACATTCCTGAATGATTTTCAAATATAATTTCAACGACCTTTATTGGTTTTCCATATAATTTTATCATGTTCATGATCTTGATTGCATAATCAGCATCTTCTTCACCCATGAATTCAATAAAACCGAAGCTGAAACCAAAAACACTTGAAGCTAAGAGCTAACGATCACATCAGTTTGGTTTTGGTAACCGAAAATAAGAAGAATTGAAGTTCGATACGTAAATCAAAATATGTGTGGATTTATGTGTGACTTGTATGCAGTGACTAGTAAATTTAAAGAAGATTTAACATTAAAATTGAAACCCAATTTTAAATTCAAAGATGAAATAACCCCTGATGTGAACTTGTCACTCGGTCTTTCGGCATATTTACTGATACAACTGGTCCTGCTTGCACAAATAGCTCCCATAAAATTGCGTCAGTTACTTTCTCATCCAAACCGCCAACGTAAATTGTAGCATCTGGAAACATGTTTTATAGAGAGAAGTTGATAGTGACTTCTTTTCCACAATCCATTAAAAACAATGAACTTAGTAAGTTAGCAAATTTCAAAGAGAACACAACAAATTAGATACTGAATATACCGAACCAATACAATTCAAAAATTCCTACTGAAAAATAGCACTATAATGCATTTCGAGAGGGCAGAGTAAGCGTACAAATTATCATACAACATAACAAATTACCTAAAAACAAGTGAGCAACAACACTCGTAATGCATTTCGGAGAAAATGACATTCACTTACCCTGATTTCTTTCCAAAATAGGTCCTGCTGACATATTCCGGAGCAAAACTGCGGTATGTAAAACAATTAAATTGGAAGCAAACACTATCCAACAGCAAGCAACTTCCTACAACATTCGAAATTATTAGCAGATGCTTAGTGATGTCAAAGAAAGTTTATCTGGGATATCACTTTCTATTGCAGATACACAATGAAGGTTTCGAAATTTCACTACGGGACAGACATGAACCAGTTTGGTACAAGGACACTTCAAGTCGGACACCTCCATAAATTACAAGTTATTCAGATATTAGGGAAACCGAACTTTTAGTGTTGAGTTTACGGGAAGGAGGAGAAAAGAGGACAGTTCCATTTCAAAAAAGATAAGTTTTAGAGGAATCAGAAACCGATCAATTTATTGTTAGTCTATCCTCTCAGATTCTATAATGTGATTTTGTGAATGAGGAAAGATATGATTTAGCTTAGCTGATGCTTGTATATCATATATGACAACCTCATATGGACCTTCTTAGTGCGATGTTACCAGATATTACCTACGAAACGTCAACATCAACTTTTAAGCAGAAAATCTGAAAGAAGATGAAAGGTCATAAGCAAAATATTTTCATGAACAATACATGGAATGTAGCAGTCAACATTGTTAAAAATTTTTTCTTAAATACAACAAATGGCAATGAGATCGTAGCAACAACGAATTTTAAAACAAAACAACAAAAGTTATGTTTCAAGAAAATGAAAGAATCTTTGCCTCCAAATAACAGATCCGTGTTCACTATACTCCGCCTTTGAAACAAACCTAAAATTTAAGGAAGTTAATATATAAAATATCCCAAGTGAAAAAGAGGCTCAGAAATACACACTTGTTTGAATTGCATAAATATTGAAGTGCTCTATGAAAAAAAATTTTGCTTACATCACAAAGATTTCATTCAATTAATTTCTCGCCATTAAGAGCTAAAAACGAACTTATTATCCCAAGCACCGAGTTTCACAGCATTCCGTCCACAGTGCCAAGCAAATGTTATGGGATCAGCAACATCTCTTAATTGTATATCATAAATTTGATCCACGAATGGTCGCAAATCTTTAGCACTAAAATTTAATCGGATAAACGGCATGAAATCAAAAATCTAGACGATGGAAACAGGGAACGAAACTCCCAAACATTTTGTTTACTCAACCACTAGTGCATTTAAAATGACCAAACTGGAAGCTTACCAAAACCTGCTGTTTAAAAAACTGAAAATTGAAGGTGTTGAGAACCTACACTCGTTCTTTGAATCCGGGGAATAAAACATTACCACCACAAAGAACAATGTTGTTCAATAATCGTCCTCGCAAACCTCAACAGAAATATGGATTTTTTAACTGTCTGGATCAATTAATACCAAAAGTGAGAAATGACAAATTCATTGACTTTTGAGGTAAGAATATCACAACATAAATTTTTTTTCCAAAGATGTATCCAAAATTCTTCAAAACAGGCTACCATATGGGCATTTCTTTACAGCTGTTGCTATAGCTTCCGGTATACCCATCTGTGAAATTCCGATGTCTGATGGTGAAAAAAGTGTTTCAGGAACTGCAAATCTCTCTATATTTACTCGCAACTTTTGTAGATCATCACAAACGTTATCTTCAGGAGTACGAATAAATCCGCGACTATGGATATTGAAATCTGGAAGCACGTAATCCTGAACGATGGTATTCTCTTTTCCTCGGCGTCTTAAACAAGGAAGGCTTAAGACATGATATATGAAGAAAAAAAAAAGTTGAGAGAACGAACTGTCTCAGCAAAACAACATATCTGTCGTATGCTACATACACTAATCCCTTTGAAAAAATTTCATTTCTCTCCAATTAAAAATGGTATCCACTTTGCATAGCATCAACAGACATATGTAGCAAGTTTTACTTATACCCAGAATTTTTTATATTTCATAAAAACTTACTTAGCAATTTCCATATGTTTGGGAAAATCATCAGCAACAAAGCAAATGTCTTCCTTGCACTCGTTCATAACATATGTTTCTTCCATTACATTTAACTGTCTGTATGAAATCCATTCTTTCAGCAAATTAGTCAAAACTTTACCGCCAACGTCAATTCTGAAATTCAAAAAAAAGCAACATGAAATAAAGAAAAACTAGAAAAACATAATAATGGCTGCGACAAATTATCGTTGTCTTACTCGCAATTCATTCTGATCCTCGTGTCGCAGCTTTCAACAGAAAAAGAAACTGAACCCGCATTTCTTTAAGCGAGAGTCATATCAAGTTCTGAAATATTTAATTAAGGAATTTAGACCTACCTTAAAATGCCTTCCCGAATAACTTTTCCATTATAATAAGGCACGATATGCGTAAATGAAAAACCTGTATCTACGACAACACAACAAAGTTGATCCTTGTATTTTTGTGACACTGTATCAGCCATTGCAACGAATGAAGAGGCTTAAGACAGGAGTTTAAAAGAAAAGAAAGAGTTTTTTTTTCCTTTTGTGAATTTCGACTAAACATGAAATTAATAGTAGAATATCAAAGTAAGTTTTTAGATCCAGATAAGGCAGAAATATTTCTATTATTCTGGAGCAAGAAAAAAATATACTAGAATGATCACAACACTTTTAAGAATTACCTACCACTTGTTTTTATAACTGAATGAAATCCATACTGTTCGAAGAGTATTTCATCCGAAAAATCACGGATTGCTGGCACACAGTAAATGGTATCGGTCATGATGATACGAGTATCGGAAAATGAAACATTCAACGCATCTTTCCCAAATACTCTGTCCCATATTTGCTGTTCTACGTCCCAGTTGACTAAAACACTTTTAGCATAAAAAATCGCACTGAAAACAATTCATTCAAAAGCATTCTTGCTGCCGAAATCAAATTGCTAAAAGCAGCAACATATTAACCAATATATCCTTTTTCAGCTGGAGTGAGAAAAAATATGCTAGAATGATCGCGACATTCATCAACTTCATCTGCCACAAAAATCCTTTTACGATCAGTTTTCGTCTTAACGATACAGTTTGGAAATAATCTGAAATCAGCCATACAAAATTATTTTAAATAAAACTTGACTTGCAAATAAGAATATTCTAGTTCAGAAAGTCTAGAATCAAAAAATTCATGTCACTGGCTGGAACATAAAAATGGCCGCTTTTTTTTCTATCAAACTTTCATTAGTAATAAGTATTGAAATGATAAAAACACCGAAAATTTATTAAACGTTACTTTGGCTGATCGTCGGTTACGTAACCAGCTTTGATAGTGCTACAACCATTGTCAAATATAAGCGTATATGACATGCTGCTTAAAAACTTTAAAATGAATGGAAATTTTAGTCACTCTTAAAATAAATAGAAATTTTAGTGATTCTTAAGATAAAAAGAAATTTTAGTTATTCTTCTTCAAGTATTTGAGAAGAATGACTAAAATATAGAAACGTATCACATTTCTGTACCGACAGAAAAATATAGAAATGTATCACACGTTCCTTCAAAAAGAAGTTACAATTATTATGCAACAATTATTTATTCCGTCTTTATTATATCATATAGCAAAACAAAAGCAAGTGAACAAAAAAGGAAAATCTTATGGAAATAAGTATAAATGAAGTAACTAGACAATACTATCACAAAAATCTCAAACGATTTCCTATTTTATCTAAAAAGATCAGCAAGAAATTTATAACAACATACATTTACCATTTCTTAAACCAAAAAATGAAAAAGTATTAACATTAGTTTGTAAAGCACAATAATTCGTTACGTTTAGGCTTAGATAAATAATAGTACCACAAACAAAAGAGCATGCGAAGACATTATCCTCCTTATTATATTATAGACCATTAGAATAAGCCATTTCAATCCTTATATTTCAATCCTGGAAAGATGCTACTGGCGTGACAAAAGAGCATTCAGCAGATTCAATTCCCCGTTTTTTGCATCAAAATCATCTTTTTATGCCCAACTTTGATTAAGTTCGTGGACTTCAATCGTCGCCAAGGAAAAGTACCGAAGAACATACTTATTTTTCTCCCCACTCCGTTGGTAAAGTAATCAAAACGAAACCACTTCTATCTAATTCCAGTACAACTGATAAATAAAACCATGATTTTTGAAAACAAGTCATGCTCCGCTTCATTCTACACTCTTTCCACTTGTTACAATAAGCATTAAATCCAAATACATAGCGAAATGTGATTTGATAAGGGAAAATTCCACATTTCAACTTCATGAGGATAAACTAAACTGCAGCAATGGTTTATTCAAGCGTCCTGAAGAAATGCCCATATTGATACATAAAATTAAAAAAAGAAAAGAAAAAATGAGAAGGAAAGTTTCATGCAGAGACTCTGAAGTAATATTGCTTGGAACAGCTTCATAGATAAGCGGGGAAAAAAGTAATATGACAACACGCTATAATCAGGTAAACCTTCAGAGTAAAACTTCGTTTGAGCAGTTTTGATTGAACAATTGGAGGACTGGATAGATGAATGACGAGACAAGATTGTCACGCAATAATTGTTAGTCTTTAGCTGGTTTTCATTATTATTAGTCGTCCAATCAAATCTATTCGAACGCGGTTTCATAATAGAAGCTTACCTAATGATGGTACCGAAGGTATTGTTCTGTACTACTATCATAACTATAATATCAATCCGTGTACAAATTTATCGACTGATCTCTTCTACACGTGCATCTAACTTTAAGACGCATATATTTATTAGTGAAAAATTGTAGTATATTATTCACGCTCAAATGTACCTTTGAAGAGGCTTCAGCCATATTAACGAGTTACCCAGAGACTAAACAAGAGATAAACTTTAGTAGGCCATCTAAATAAGAAAATAAGCGCTAGATATGAACCGAAATACATGGCGAAAAACAAAACTTTCGTCTTAAATCTCCAGTGCATCGATGAAAGCCATATGAGATGAAGTCCGCTCTGAACAATGTCTGAAAGCTTATTTCGAAGAAAAAAGGCATGCTAAAGCAACACCTTACCCTAGTGACTACTAATGTCGAGAAAAAGTTTGAGGATCCCTCATAAGCTCCACTTCCTCAATACCATCAACAAATTGGAAAAAATGCCGTCCTACTGTCAGCAATCGAGTACTTCCAAACTCTTCCAGTACATTGCAGCTCGATAACCACAAATCATATATTAAACACTTTTTGCATTAAGACCAAACTTTCATCTCTACTATTCTGAAATTTCAAAATATTAGAATCCGTCAGTGATCCTTCCTGATTTTATTTCACGGCACTCATCGGAAATGACAACCATGTTTTTCTTTCAGGTGAAGCGCGCAGATTTGATTTGTTTATTTATTGTTACCATCGGGTAGTGCGCAAGTGTGTATGTTTACGTTGCTGCATGTGCTGAAGGTCTTCCCTGCATTCATATATTTTAAGTCCTCATTCACCATCTATCAAACTTTTCTGGTTTCAAAAACTTTCTCTAGTTGATTGGCCCTTGACCTTTGCGATATCAATTGACTCTCGTATGAAATTTGCCTTCCATTGCCCTCTACTAGCATTCGGGGAATAAAAGGAGTTGGATAGCGAAACATTTCAGATTGACCTAAACTCAGAATTAGAAAATTAGAAGTGTTTTCCAGATTTCTTTGACTGTAATTCCAGTCGGATCAGAAGTGCTGATGGATGCGGAGGAAGGTAATATGGATTCGCCCGGTTATACTCCAATGTATCGTTACCAGTTTCGCGTGATATTGATCGGTGACTCGACGGTAGGGAAATCCAGTTTGCTTCGACATTTTACAGAGGGAAAGTGTGCGGAAATTTGTGACCCAACAGTTGGTGTCGACTTCTACGCCCGAATGGTGGAGGTCAAACCAGGATATCGGATAAAGCTGCAACTTTGGGATACCGCTGGACAAGAAAAATTCAGGTAAGACGAGTTGGTTACAAACGTTTCAGTAAAGGGTGGTCGAAGCTAATACTCATTTGGTAATGCTGATTCAGAACTATCGAGGTATTGTCAATATCACTTAGATAAGATCTTAGATTACAGGACAAATTGCAACTTTTCGCCAGGATATTTTCGAATATGTTGTAGCATACTGACAGTCAGGAATCACCTTAGGTTTTTGGTTTGATAGTGAACTTCGCACACCAGTAGTTCGTCTCATCTGAAACAGATCCAAATCATTTGTATCTTGAATTTACTGCAAACAAATTTGGTGTTTCACCTCTTCTTTCATCATATATTAAAATATATCCTTTGTTGAAGGAACCAGCAAAAGGTGCTTTTCAGATCGATAACGCGTTCCTACTACCGTAATTCGGTGGGTGTAATTGTTGTTTATGATATAACAAATCGGTCAACTTTTGATCATGTTGCACAGTGGCTGAAAGAAGCAGAGCAGAATGTTGGTGGTCCGCAGCCGAATAACTGTGTTTTTCAGATCATTGGCCATAAAGCTGATCTAAATGATGAACGTCAGGTACGGCACAGTCATTTTGCAAATATATAGTTCCTAGTTTTGATGATACACTGTCAAACGGTTGTGTTCATGCTTCTTCGTAACTTTTACCGACAATTTGTCTAAATCTACCTTCCATTTTTGCTTTAATAGTTATGTGTTGCACCAAGTTGGTTGGCACCATTTACGTTACTTCAGCAATGTAATACATTCTATTCATAAATTGCTGATAAGACACTGGGAAACTGTTAATGATGGAAATTTTAAGGAATATTTGCCAATATTTTTGCCAGTTGCTACCTCGTTTCTTACAGTTCGATCCTGAAACTTGGAAATGTTCCATTTTGTAGGTAATGTACGAAGAAGGCGAATATTTCGCAAAATATAACAAAATCAAATTTTTGGAAACTTCAGCGGTTACGGGTGAAAATGTGCAGGTTAGTATTGTAGTATATTTTTTGGAGAGGCCTAAAAATATGTAGCTATAAAAATGCAGTAGCGTAAAGATCGAGTCGAACTACGCACTTCTCGCTTTCATCGTAGGGCAATTTAAAAAGTGCTTAGGTATTATTAATGGGATTTGATTCGAATTTTCAGGAGTCATTTAAAATGATTGCGCGAGAAATCTGTGACCGAATTGAGAATGGGCAGTTACGTGTAGTTGATGGTTGGGAAGGTATTCGAAGTGGCATGATGCGTACGAAGTCAATAACATTATCGGAAAGTTCTGATGCACCGTATTCAACTTGTACATGCTAACTACTCCGTAATGTATTTTTCTCAGTATCAATATAATAGCTGCTATGTATAGCCATTCAATTGCGATTAATACCTTTTCATGGTTGATATTTCCGATAATCATTCTGATTATCACTGCGTTTTCCAATGTAAGTGATCTTTGAAAATGTGAAAGCAATACCATACAATATATTAAGCCTTCGAAGAAATTCAGATAACTTATTAGTTAATGAGATACATATAAAACAGACTTCTTTTTAAATTTTCATTACTTTAAATTTTACTTTAAATTTAAAGTTTAAATTTTCATTACTGTTTACTCGCAAAGTTTTGTTTAAAAATTCACAGTTTCCTTTGAAATATTTTAAATATTCTTCACTTTCATTTACAGCATTTTCGCTTTATCGGTAGATAATAATCCTGTGCACACCGTTCCAAGTACAAAATTGTGCTGCTTATACTACACGATATTGCTTTCACTTTATTAATTTTCTTGTCTATCTTTATAAATTTTTTAGTGCTCAGTGTTTTTGTGCCTTACTGTAATGAAAATATGCGGGAATATTCGTCCCGTCGTGTTTCTCATCGTTCAAGAGAAAATTCTAATTCTCCAGATAATGTGACCATGTATATTTCCTTTTTATTAACCATTTTTGTTTCCAACTGAAAATTCTCTAGACATCCAACGAATTTGGTAAAATGCTTTTAATCAATTATGAGGAAAATTTCAACACAGAAGTTAATCTTCATTAAAAATAAATTGTGCAATTGCTATAACATTGACAGCTTTAATTACATCCGTAGATTTTGAAGTAATTTTGTTTTCCATTAGTAGTTTCAACTAGATTTTCCTCGCAATATATTTGGAATTTTTTATACATAGATTTTATATATACATTGAACCAATAGTTATTTTTTTTAAACATTAGCTATTTGTAAAAATAAAGTTTTCGCTTGTACCATACACTTAACTGATTTTAATTTCGATTCATTTCACTTTGATGTGATTAGAATCTTCAAGCAGGAACGAATTTATAGAGAAAGGAGTGGTTAATAGTGAATTTTCAGCTGAAAGTTTTCACCAGGAGATAAAGATACGGAGTCCTTCTGTTTTATAAGCAGGAGAGTTGTTTTCTTTCTTTTACATATTACTGCAATGTTGGGATATGGGCCTTATTCTTTGCAAAAGAAACTTTTGATATGCCGTTCTCTTCATTGGGGCCAGCTATATTTTCATCTATAGTATCATTACTTTTTGAACCCTATGAATAAGTCGTCTGAAGAAGCAAAAAAGATGCAGATTGATGCATATGGCGCATGGCAAGCAAATGTCAATCATGGGAAGCAAATGTCGGAATAGAAAAGGGAATATCTATGATGAGGTTGTTTGAAGTATTTGGATACAGTTGTGGTACCATCGCAAGGAAATATCTTATATGTTGCTTTCAGTCCTCAATCTTTAATTTTCCAATTGTGGAGATATTATATGAACTGCCAGATAGTACAAGTTTTACAGTAAATATCCTCCACCATGTAATACCGAGATCAGTAACTTATGGAAAATTAACGCATATAAGGGAAGTATGGAGGCTTGCATCACGTCGAAAAGGATAAGACGATATCGCTTGTATCCTGAAACTATTGGAAATATATGCCAGTGTACTAAGTGATCAAGCAGCGCACTAAAACATTCCGGATGTCACATACGTATCGAAAGGAATGTGAACGTTTTGAAAATAAATGTTGATGAAAGTATGACACAAGCGTCACTTTTTCCTTTCTGCTTTTATTCAGCTTAAATTTGTTCCAGCTGATTAATAAAATCACTTGATTGCTCAGCTGACCGCATAGAAGAGCGGTTACATCGAACGGAATAAGGAATCAGAAATAGTGGCGCCAAGTCGTATAATTCAATGGGACCTATTATAAGCAAGTATGTAGTATGAGTTAACATCCCGAAGATTTAAAATATACGTAAAACTGAGAAGCGTAAAATTGAACCAGCAAGTAGTGTTAGCACAATTTTTACTCTGCGGGATTGTCGTTTTCAGGTAGGGCATCTGATTACGTTGGTTGACGCCCGAATTCAGCCTTTTTTTTCTTACAGTTATGCAGTAGTTGCGGTCGTACTATGTTGCTTCCATTTTTTATGTTGTGCTTCAAACTGGATCGGTTTTCAGATAAATACGGAAGACTCAATTCGATTAAGCGTTGGTTCAACCTTTTTTGTGAAGGTTGCCTTCCACATCTTTGTTTTATGTCGTAGAAAGAGCATTAATGCGTTTATTCGGATATCGAGAACTGTTACTTCCTTACCATTTCCTCTTATTAGATGCAACTCCCATTTAGTGATATTCCAAACTTGTCCCTTCAAGATAGAACTGTACTTCCTACGTTTTTAAGAGTTTTAAATTTCTGTTCGATAATTCATAACTTTTGCTCCTTTTGAAAGAAATGTGAACTAATTTCAGACACTCTTCCAGACTGACAGAAATCGCCAAATGCCAAAAAGGGACAATAGATGATTCTTCTGTAGTAGTTACTTGTAGCGTAAACCTCATATTGTTGTTGTAGATTATGGAAGAAATGCTGTATGAGCCGGAATATATCGTCGATATGAAAGTAACGTCTGGCCGCTGTTTCTACCTCATAAAATGGAGAAATTTTCCAGTGTTAGTTTACCTCTGTATCGTAATCATTGTTTGCTGAAAATAATCTTTTTCATTAATAATTAAAAACAATTTAAAATTCAGTTTTCATGTCCTTAGGTAGAAGCTTTTGGTGCTTATTTATTCACATTAGTGTTCTCACGTTTGCAGAATTCGATTGAAAGTTTTAGGAGTGATTGTACTTGGGAACCTACGGAGAATCTTATAAACTGTGGCACTTTGATTGCTGAATATAAAAACTCCGAAAAAAACCAGGCAATCATAATGTTACTTTATTTTGATTTCATATGTTTCTGCCTGTCAACTACATTAGGAGTCGTTTTAAACTAATTTATATTGCATAATCAGTTACTTAAAAGAATGGTGAAATTGTAGCCACAACGAAGAGAGCTGAAAAAACGAGGCAGGAAGAAGAGGAATCGGAAACTTTCAGTCAATAATTCTTTGGTATTTGAAGGTTTTTTAAATTTTTAATTACTAGCAAGGTGGAGATAATCAGTAACGAAGAACCCGTTGTTTATCGATTTAAGCTGGGAAGTTAGCTCTATAAGGCTACCTGGCATACATCAAGCCACGTAATCGTTGTTTCTTATTGGCATCTTTTCAAGAAATGACCTGTGCAAAAATATTAAATCATAAAATTTATTACATATGTATTCTTTCCTCGTTTAGATTCCTGCTGGTACTTCCAGGTTGGCTGCATAAAAGAAACTGAACCCCCCACTTTCCTTAACGTTATAATAATTTATTCATACATTTTTAAGCTTGTGTATGAATCAAAACTATAGTTTGCAAAATATGTTTGCAGAATTTGGAAGAACGAACTGGCGATGCATCTTTTTGCAAGGATATATCAAAAGAACAAACGCCGGTCATAGGTGCGTCTGAAAGATTAGATTTCTCCAGTGTTGCAGCTTTGATTTGCAGAGAACAGCGTAAGGATACAACTCGGTTTAAAGCTGAACTGTAAGCTTTTACTATAATCTTGATATTGTTAACCAGCATATTCTATGATTAAGAGGTTCCCTTACATTCCAAATCTCTAGTTCTAATTTTTTTTGCATCTCACTGTTCTTGATGTGGTTGAATCTAATGGTTGATCAACTACATTTTTTAAACACTCTCTACTTTCTGAGTAGTTTCAGTCAAAGACTACAAGCCTACAATGTACTTTACCCCCTAGAAGTTAAAACAAGATTAGAAGTTCAGGTTTTATATGTCCCAACACAAAGTTCCTAGCTATCCTAAACGCTGGAAATGATTGACATAAGATGCAGCCAGCTGCAGGTTTTTTTCTGTTCAGTAAATTTGAAAAAACTCGAAACGTTTGAGTGATTTTTTTTCCTATCGTTTCTAGCGTTGATGGAAGTTCGGCATGGATAGATGATAGAGATACTCATATGCACCTGAAAGATCAGCTGATCGAATTCTACGAACGAATTTTAAATCTCAAGTCTCGTGAAATGTAATTTTTGCCGCGCGTATATTTCTAAGGGAAATGAACAAGAAATCGGAATATTTATTTTTTTTCATTATGTTTTCGGCAATAATAATGATAGCTTTTATCCGTCTCTTAATTTCATTTTGTTGTGGCTTCTCCAGTTGTCTTATTTTATCACTAATCTGTTGCACGAATAGGAATCGTTGCGCAAGTATGAGAGCTAAGAATTTTTTTTGAGCTTCAATGTGCATAGCGCTTCAGATATTCTTAGTTCGAGAATGCCTTTCGGAAGCGAGCTGATAGTCATACTCTTTCTTTGATATGTATACAACACAGGTGGAAGTAGAATCCTGGAATTTATAGGGCTAGTTCCAGAAAAAGGTTCTATCGAAACAGAATTATCACATTTTACTCCATGCAGGAAATTTTCTTTGATGTTCAAGCAGCAGAAATCAGGTGCAGCTTGGAAATAAAATACCTCTCCTTAATCTCGCTTATTTATGTATTTCTCTTTCCCATCTCCGGTGGAGCTATATACTACAACCTAGCTGTAGGGTGACCTCTCCTTCCATCCATACTACTAACTACCATGAAAAGTAGTTACCTTCCACGACAGTAAGTAGTGGTCCCGTACAGGTAACTTGCTTCTAATTCTGTACTGCCTTAAAAGGGGAAGCCGATTACTTCACAGTTTGTTATGACGAATTTCTCCATACTCCATATAATAGATAACTATGTAAGAGAGTTTGTAATAATCTAGCTGCTAATCCGTACGAAAAGCTCACGTTATAACGAATATCTAATGTAAGTAATCTTTATCTAATGTAAGTAATCTCCTGATCCAAAACTTTAAGATTCAAGGTTTATCAAAAAGCTCTACTATCTATTTACAATGCCCATTTACTCCTGTTGTTTTTATCTTTGCTTCGTCAGATCTATGTATTCGAATAAGTCTTCTTGACTGTTTAATGTTTTTTTCGTTATTCTGGATATAGCACATTTGGAAATATAACAATAAGATTTCAATGTACTATTCTTTCTAGAAATCACAAAAAAGTCTTTAAACTGATAATATAATTAAGAATACCATCATTCACCGCAGTCTACACCAATAGTGACTGCTCCTTATAGATTTTTGCTTTACACTGGTTTTTGCACACAAAAATTTCAATAATACAAAGGTTCGCATCTATGAAATTGAGAAGATACCGTTTAGACACAGAAGCCGTATTTTTAATAGTAATCGGTAATTGGCGCCAAACAACACTCATGCACGACTTCAGTAACTGATTGTACATTACTGAGTCGCTGCTGCTATAACAAGTTGGCCCATGGCGGTATGATCGGTTGCGGATTTTGCAAGTAACTCATAACAATAGCGGAAATTGAAAGCCTGAAAATCTGGTACTGTCGTCATAGCTGTTAATCAAAACTAACCGTGGACAGAAACGTACAAATAAGCAAGTATAACATAAGCTCTGCAAAGCTGGAGCAAATATATAATGCGAGATCAAGTAAGCTAAAATTTATTTGCTGTACTTTTGCCTTATACTAACGCGAAGAAATCTGCGGAAAAGGTACATGAACCGTGAATGCTTCCATGTTGCCGCCTTCCGAAAGAACAAGCTCATGAAACTGAATTACAGATTATAACAGAGCTCACATGAAACTGCTAACAATTTGTTTTGCATCATCGCTCGTCCTCGCATTCGCAAAACTAACACAGGAACATAGAAGTGCGACCCAGGCGCACCATTTCATCTGATAAAAGATTAAATTAGAATAGAGTGAAAGATTAAAATTCTCTCCTTAAAGTCTGTTGACGCAAATGAACGTGGGTCGATTGGACAAATACATCATAAGTAGCCTTTAACAATTCTGCTAACAAGAAATAATGATCAGTTATTTCACTTCCTCATGTAATATGAAGAAGTGTTATACAGAACCATAAAAAATAGCGCAAATCTTGCAGGCAATCAAAAAAACAGCATATTTCATGAAAACAAATACTCTGCTAATTGCAAATATTGCGCAACTGAATCAATTCGATTATGGCATGCCAGAAAAGTTATAACAGCATAAATTTTTAAAAAAAAATTGAGGGAAAATAAAAAAACGTACTCTCATCATTAATCCACACATACTAAAAACCATTCCTAACACATTCATGTATTCAGGGATTGGGTCATCTGTAAGCGAAAGACATGATTGCGGATCCACAGGTTTATATCTAAAAGAGGAAGGATATATATTGATTTTTTTCCAATTCGAAGTTCATAATAATATTTGCATTAAAAAATCGCAGATTTCGTATCTTTTGGTTGGTCGCCCAGTTTTTTTCAACAAAATCAAATTTAATTCATTCCAGTTCCAACTGGGATATTGGGGGGTTCATTAGAATCGAGCAGATTGGAAATAATCTTACCTTACTATCCTGCCAGGCCTTTTCACATCACCGTTCTGCATATTTATTCTAGTACGAAAATAATCAAACCAACGAATCTGAAATTTCCATTTCTGTTTACAGTATCATTTCATTCGATATAACGGAAAAAAATGATTTGAGTTAACATTCAAAACTTTAAACTCCCGAATTTCAAATCAGGAATTTCAGAATTTTCTCTGGATTCCATACAAGATATCCGAAAACACTTGCTCATTTTGTTACAATGTACTTTAATCTGCCATGAAAAATGGCTATTTTGAAAAGTTGTCAAAACTAGTTAGGCACAGATTTTTACTCTTTATCACGATTCTTAAATTTTGCAAGTAAATGTAAAAAGATTTAAGATTTTAAGTGATTGAGGCATTGCAATTTAAACAGAGTCATCTTAAATTAAGGGACAAAAAAGTGCTGACAAATTTTTAAGTAACAAAATAAGATGCAATCTAAATTAATGAAACAACATAAAAAGAGAAAAACCAAATAAACCACTTGCAAAATGGATCTCATATGTAGTATTTCTGATAAAATTTCCAGAAATTACATGCAAATGATGCCGAATTTAATATGCAAGGACAATCCAATAAATTTACTTCCTTCAGGACAATAGTTTTAAATTGCGGGACACTTCGTCTATATGATTAAATGACATTCTTGATCAAAAACTAAAAAAAAATTTGGTCTAGCAAATATCATGAAGTTACTGATGGAATGGAATCTGAAAAGGCTAAATTTCCGGACGCTTTTTTCTTTTGCACCGTACCGCCAAGAGTATCAACAAATCTTCGCGCAAGTATGTCTTCTTGAATATGTCTTTTCAAAGATCGCTGCATTATTTCGATAATTTCTTTCGCGAAAACTGTTCGGAGAACCGGGATAAGTTTTGCTGAAAGTTTCAGATCACTTGGTGTAACAATCATATTGTCCATCGCAATGGTAACATTACCCGCTTTTTCGATATAATCTGGTAACGGTGGTACCTAAATTCCAGCACAATTATTACCTGGTTAGTGACAGCGAAATGAAACAATAATAAATTTAGGAACATTTGCAATGTGGTCTTTCTGAATTTGCTTTTAATTTGTACTTTTAATTTTTTAAGTTCTCTGTCCAGCTTTCTAACAAAAAACTGGAACACCACAGGAAATTGTACAACGTAAACCTTCGGATACTTAGCACTAAAATGTGTTAGCACCAAATTCTTCGCGCCCATTCGTGTAGCAACATCAAAAGCTTGCTTCATTGTACTATGTTTCTTATATAGAGCATGTGCCTGAAAAGAATTCAAAAATACAATTTCAGTTTCAAAGGATTCAATTCAGAACTTTGAAATTATCATAAAGTAGGAGGGAAGATGAAATCGGTAAAGAGATGGGAAGACAAGATAATTCCAAATCTCTTCTACATAGTGTTTTGATCACCAAATAAAATGAAAAATAACCTCTTCATCATCCGCAAAAGTCGACTCATGAACAAGAACTAGTGCATCTTTCCCATGATTCACAAGCTGCTCACAAGGCATTGTGTCTCCGGAGAACACAAATTTTCGGTTATTCAAATCGGTAAATATATAACCAACAGCAGTTCTTGCATGATTCACCTGAAATGGAAATATATTTCTGCTAAACTTTAGATACTTATAAGATGGACAAATTAAAATCATAGAAAACATAACAATTCATCAAAAAACTCGCCATGCAGACCAAAAAAAAAAAAAAAAATTGTCATTTAACACATACATCGTCGATGATTCTTCCACTGGCGCGTGTAAGGCCAGACTAAAAACTTAACGAATGGATTGTTGGGAGTTAGAAATATAAAAAACAGTGATAAATGACCTTAACCGCAATGATACTTTTGAATCCAAGACTTTTTACATTTACAATTTCCGGAGGCATTTGACCAGTCAAATCAGCCGCCTCTACTGGACCTCCTTTCTCTTGGGAAAGTCTGTAAACCAGAATTAGTGATTTAGTACGAGGCAGTTAAGTGATTTCAAGATAAGCTTTCTGCAACATAACCTTCCTCTTTACACATTCCCGAAAATTCAGAATTTATACCTCCATAAATTTTTACACTTTCCAAAACAAAATATTATGAATTTTAGAAGTATCAAAACTTACGTCCACAATATCTTAGAGATGTCCACAATATGCATATCTCGTGTATAATTACCAAAACTACGATCAATATCACGGAAAACTTTCAAAACATGATTTCCACCAATCACAACTAACGGTTTATATGTCAAACCTAAAAGTTATCGACACAGTAGAAAATTTACGAGACACCTCAAACAAGAAATATTAATATCAAAACTTAAGATGTGAACGTTGAATGTACCTCTTTTCACAAATAATTTTTTCCGACACTGAACAATTGTGAAAATCCCATGATAGTGATCCTGATGACCGTGTGTAATGAAAACTGCATTTAATTTCAACAACAAATCTTCACAGACTACATCACCAAATAAAGTGCGTAACTGACCTTGAAACACATAGCTTTACACTTCATTTAAATTGAATTTCAAAAAAATGAATTCTTGAAGTTTTTACATTCACCTGCCTGCTACTACTTCATTTTTTTTCGAAGGTGTATTACAAAAAAGGGAAAAATCCGTAGCTGTGGAATATACTGACACACTAATAAAATATGTAACAAGCCTCATTAAAATCTCAAATTATAGAAAACTTTTAACCTAATGGTACTCGACGTATCCAGTTTTAATCAGCAATAAATAACGTAATAAATCGATAGGAATTCATAAAGATCATGCAATACTAAAGAAATGAACAATTAAAAAAAGCTGACCGTATGATCCTTCGCCACAATCAACAAATATACAAGAATTTTCGTTAAATTGAAGAAAATATGCGCTAACATTACGGAAATTAGTAGGTACGGCTGACGATGTACCAAGAAAACAAATCCGAGGCCAGCTGTCTTCGTTTTCTAGTAGATTTGATGAATCTAGAAGAACGATATAATGTGATAAAGAAAATTGAATTTATGTCGCATCTGTACTTATTTATTGAAGGATACAATATATAATTCTTCCAAATTTCTCGACAAAAACAACTTATCCCGCACAACAAAAATACAAAACTGCAAGGCCTTCAAAAGCAAATACTGCTCACATGTATCAACAGTACTACATCCGTAATGACAAAAATGCATTTGCCTACAGATGCCAAAAATCTGCCTACACTTGACTTCCATCAAATTCCGATTCTCAGAGTAAAGATATACACTTTACAAAATGGAAGACAAATAGAGTAAGTGAAAAACCGGTAACTTACTACGCATGAACAAATTAATGGCTTCAGAAGTTGCTGAGTTTTCTTTGAGTTGCAGCAACAAATCAGTCAGAATTAACGACACATTGGGAGGTGATGAATCCAAATTGACAGGCCTGCGCAAAAAATATCGTTGGAATGGCCTAACATAAAGATAGTTACCGCTCCTTTCACAATCATCATCCTGGAAAAGACAGTTCAAGATATGACTCTAAAACCTAAAGATATCAATAATTTCAGTTTATTCATGCACAGGTTGCACGAAGAAACAGTATACTAAGATGAACGAAAAGGAGGGGAAGACAAAAATATACCATTGGCTATTTTTTCTAAAGAACGATTAATTTAATAAAAATGAAAACATATTATTAAAGATTTTTAAATCCATGCCTGTAATTTAAAAAAGAAAAAAAATATCAGATACAAGCACCAGAAAGTGGTCTATGACAGAATCTTGTTGATTACCTGCTGTATAGTACCACTGAATCCTTTTGGATGCAGAAGAGGGAACAACTTTGGACAAATGTGATTCAAGATAACATTAATACGATACACCGCCTCCATGTGAGGTAGACATGGACCAGTGCCATTGACAATGATGTGCTCCACACTTTGACCAAATGAAGCCATCCAAGATTTGTATTCGTCATTAATCAGCACTGAATTTTCAGTAAAATGGACGACATACCGCAAAGTTTTGTTTCGTATATTGTAATCCTGCAAAATTAAATTATTAAAAACATGGAGAGGTATAAAAGTATGTAAATATAAAAGTGTGTAAACATCTGACAAAAACATTAGGAATAAGTGAAGGATAGTCAAACAGAATAGAAGAGATAGAAATTCGATACTAACATGGAATTTCCTTCGTCTTACCTTCAATTAATGGAAAAATGTAACTTACTCGAAGCAGAGTATTATTCTGCAATGATGGCAGTTTTCTTAGATCACTGCATTCAACGATAAGACAAGCATATTGTGGCTTAGCCTTTAAATCGCTTAAAACTTCTTCTGCCTGTAGTAAAACTTCATTTATTTGTCTATTATACAGTATTGTTGGTCAAGATTTTGATTTTAATCTTTATTTAAATCCCAATCCCCTCAATATTTCTGATAAATTTCATTCATTTAAAACAAATGTGGTGGAAACTACCAAAGTAATCCTACTAAATTACCTCGTAAAAAGTGTCATGTATTTTTCCAAAAAAAACCAAATGAGATGATACCAAACAGTTTAACTGGCGGTATAAAAAACAGAAACAATGAATCAAATTTTGCCACAAAAACCAGAAGTGTAATTCTCAACGTCTTGCTTTCCATTTTATACTGTCCTTAAATATTTAATTGCTCATTCCCTGAACTGCAGTTGCCAATTTGGGCTACACGAGATTGAACGCTACATGGTTCTGCGTAAGGAAGCGTTACGTCATAATCATAGTATTCGCGAAATCTGTTTAACTGGAGTAGGTGATCCAAGGAGTTCTCATAATAGAACAAAAGAACAAAAAAGAAACCTTGATAAAACGTCCATCAGACAGCGTTATATTTTCCCCATCTTTCAGTTGCTTCATGTGAGGACCACTAGGAATTTTTAGCTTCTTAATTTTTTGGATATCCAAGGACCTTTGCGGCGGCTTCAATTCAACCAGGAATGCTATATCAAGCTAAAAAAACCTGAGAGTCTTTTTTTTTTGGAAGGAAGTTCTGTTACATAATAACTTATCTATTTCTGAGAAATATTTCCAACTTCATTCAAAATTCAGCCTCAAAAACTTATTCACCCATTTCCAAGCTTAATTCATTCCACATATTGCGGATTCCACATACTGTGAACATATTGCTTACGCAAAATGTAAACCTTTTCCTGCATTGATCTTTGAGGAGCAGAAAATGTTGATACTGGTATAAAATGTACAATCAGTGCATCATCTGAGTAGAGGCCGCAGCTTAGAGGACGCTCTTCCACATGCAAATCGAATTGTTCATTTAAATTTCAATAAATTCTATCTTTAAACGGAAAATCATTAAATAAAACCCACCTAGCAGATAGAATCAAATAAAAAACATTCGATCAAACAGAACGCTGGGACCCGATATGAAATTTGAACTAGTCTAGTGAAATTACCAGAGTTCCAAGTCTTTTGTATGCAAAAAATTTACAAGTTCATAATACTAAAAAAAAGTTATATAACACGAAATGTCACAAAGAAATAGCCAAGAGTCTCAACACTATTATTTCAATTTTATAAGTAATTCGTAATTCGACTATACGAACTGTTTCAATTCCAACAACAATAAGCTTCAAATCGGAAACTCCAAATCATTTTAAAAATGATACCTTAGTGGTTATAGTTGACGGGAAATCAGCATCAGTGTGATCATTCTGGGACTCAAAATACTTCGTCTTGTTATGAGAACCATGCAACCTGATAACTCGTTCTAGTTTGGATGACGATGACGCTACTGGTGTTTTGAGCAATCCAGATACGCCGGCAAAATGTTCCCAAGTATCTCAAAAATTTGTGTAAAAGTTATCAATTCAATGCTACTTCGAATGCGCCTCAGACAGATTACTTAATTTCAGCACTGCTTCGAACTGAAGTTTCACATATTGTAAACAAATGTTTAGAATTCTAAGGGTTAAAATTCCAAACATAAACAAGTTTACTAATTTACTTCACAAATGTAAATTACCTCTTGTAAAGAAGATATCAGTAAGATTTATAGCTTTCAAACGATTCGCAGCTAGAAATCGTGAAGTGCCTTCCGGACAGTTAAACAAATAATCCTTGTAATTTGTATGTATAACGACACATGGTCTAAGGTGAGTTGTGCCATTGCTTATAATCTGCAATAAAATACTGACAAATGCAATGGCTTTTACAGCAGTTAAGAGAATACTGAACATAAAACTCTTTACAACTTGAGCACTACCGTCTTCGCAAACGCTTTTCAGTTATTAGTTTGAAAAGTTACAAGTTCTTGATTTAACGAAAAAAGACCTCGATTGATACGCAAGATGGGATTGCCGGAGGTGTTTTTGTTTTGTTCATTTGTTTTATCTCCGCCAGTTCTTTAGTTAAAATTTCCACAGAGGATAACGCTTTTTTACCAAGATAGGTGCTCTTACTGTGCCTAGAAAAATATTACAGCAATTTAAAAACTGGAAAATTCTTCCCCAATCAGGCTACATCTAGTTAGTTAACGCAAAATAGTTATGATTACGTATTTGGATACCTGACAAGATATTTCCTGTATTCACCGATTCGTTGATTTAGAGCTTGAATAATTGCTTCAGTATCCTGCTCCTTTTTAACTGAAAGAGATATCATGCATAATTTTGAGGCAAGAATATATCAAATACACTTCTCACTCTATCGCCTTGAAATTCCTCATTAAGTATTTCAGATTCCTTAGAAATGATGCCATCTATGTCAAACTTGCTTCCAACGAAAAATTATATGTAACACTGCTAACCCCCAACCATTTGATAATGTAAATTGGAAAAAAGACCTGCAAGGTATTTCTTTTGAAGTAAGAAAGTATTGTAGCAGAGAAGTTGGGAAGAAATTGTTTTTCCAAATAAAAAAGTGCTTCGCCGAGCTAACATTCATCGATAAATGATATCAACCCAATACTTCCATTAAAAACTGAAATTTCATTTCTAAAGACGAAACTTAAGCATTATAAAGAATAAAAACAGGTCTACGAATGCTATAACAAATTCAGATTAGTGGTTAACTGAGGAATGCAGCTTGAATTCAGGCAAAGAAAGCTCGGAGATATAAGTCTGGAAGATATAAGCTCAAAACATGTCGCTCATAATACCTTAGAACAAATCCCTAAGATCAATACAGCTTCTCGAACAGTGCACCTCTCGCATTTTTTACAAGTGACGTAATCGATCGTGTACATTTTTACTCATGAAGGCAACCATCAAAACAAATGTCAGACCATTCCCCACGCGACAACAAGTAGTACCCTCCAGATGAACAGACGAAACTGCTGTCCGTTAGATCTCGAAGTTACTAGTATGCAAATTCGTGAGTTTCAGCATTCTCACCATATAATTTCATTTCAGGAAGTATCATCAAAGGATTTCATGAGAAGTGAAATCTGGTTCGTTGTTGCCTCGCAAGAATATCCCTCCCGAGACATTGGAGTTGGTCGGGAGAGCATCAGAAATTATTGCACCTGTTCTCTTTTCTTCATAGATCACATCCGTTTATTGATTTTGGACGTACTTTATTCGAAAATGTTTTTTGTATTTTTTAATAATTTGTAATTCAAACATTTGTTAGGAACGAACCGATATTACATAGACACAGACATATACTTACACACACATACATAACTGACATCTTCATTCATGATTCATTTAATTTGCTTAAGTTAAATTTATCCAAGCAAATTATTTTCTAAAACTTATTTTCTGGCAATTATCATGTCACAATTAGAACTGTGGTACGTTTTATGAAGCTTTTGGTTCTACGCTTGTTTCTTTGTCTGCTTTGTCAACCGCCTCTTTTCTCGGCGGAGATTGTACCGGTGGCGGTACACCGACAACAGTACTTTTGTATTGGCTTAAAAGACCTGTTCCATCGCTCTCCGTGCTTGGAATTGATTTTTCCCAGTCGTATGGATATTCCTGGAATAGGTAGAGACATAAATTTGATTTAATTGAATTCAAAGATTTAAGATTTGTTTTTCGAAGGGATCTTCGCATTCAAATTCAGTTCAGGATGATAAATTCCCCAGACCTGACTCCTGGTATCTCGGATAGCGTTTCGCATCAAACTATAAATCTTATCGTAATCCGGTGTGTCGAAAAATTTTGTCTTGTCGCATATTTGGAGTATCTCAATGTATTTCCTCGGACAACCGCCGAACAACTTTTTTACACCTTTGTCTCTGCGACATTGCTTTTTGGATACGCCGATGGCATTGATTTCCTAAAACTGATGAACATTCGCTCGTTTATTCCTCACAATGTGTTTACTGACAAATTACGTATACTTTGTGCCCAAGATGTTTCACGGTGATGGTTTTAAACTTCAATATCGCTTCTTCTTTAGAAATGAATTGTAACGATGTTTCCATTATGTGAGATGCTTCCAACAGCATTGATTTCAGCACTCATCCGTTATTTTTCTTTTTTACCATTGTTCCCAAGTATTTCCACGATTTATTTACTGCTTCCCTTCTTTTATTACTATATGAAGAACTGATGTCACCAATTATTAAATTTATGCATTTATTGGTTTTTTTTCTGGTATTACCTTAATTTTTTCGAAAACTTCTGACCGTTTAAAAACTGTTTATCATTTGTAAGCTTTTAAATTGTGCATAGTTTTCAGAGCTCATTTATTACCTGCTAATGACTTAATTAGTCAGGATTTATTATTGCACAGGATATATTCAATTATTACCGTCATATTCCTCCAAGGTAGCTTGCCATTGGTGAGCTCGACCACCATATACAACCATGATTCTACATCATCCTTCCGACACAGTTCACGCAATATATGAGCTGATAACGGAGCATACTTTACGGTACCGCGAAATCCAGTTAATGCGCGAGGATTTCTCATCGTGCCATCTTCATGGATATATAGTCGAGCCATACCAAAATCAAGGACATATACCTAGAGCGTTTTTGGTATTTAATCAATTAGCCCGATCTGAAATTCTGAAGAGGTACGAATAAGACCCTTCAAAAAAAGTGATAGACCGTAAAAAGCATCCAAAATTACTTGAACAACGTTGTTAATTCTGATTACTTTCTGATTTGTATGAAACAAGTTCCAAAACTTTAGGAGTTTTCAAAAAACAATGCATTCAAAAAAAAAACAATACACAATACATTCCTTAGTTCATTGACTTCGGGTCTACCGATGGCGAAATTGCCGGGCTTGACATCGCGGTGCAAATAGCCGATGTTATGCAAATCTTCCAATGCTTCCAAACATTTAATGCCAACACTGATCGCTGTCCCCAATGAAAATTTTTTATTTTGAGCTTCTAGTCGTAATTCCTGCATAATTTATATTTTAGAAGTTGTTAAAATTAATTTTACCGTACACTTTGCTTATTGTAATCATCAGTGATAATTGCGCATTTCTCATCAATGCCATTGTTTTTTTTTTTCTGCCTGATCAGCAGTTTAAAGTAAAACATTGACCTGGAGGGATTTTCCAACCATAGTCATAACAATATAGAAGAAATCTTTGTGTCTGCCTTTATCCTCAATGGTGCAGAAATGTCGCAGGCGATCTTGCTCCTTCAACTTACTTAGTACTGTTAACTCCATTTTCAAGAAGCCAACTTTTTCATGGACACTTTCTACCTAAATGTCTTTGAAGTTATTTTTCTTCTGGGTGGCTTTTTAATTTGAGTTAATCAAAATATTTACAAGAATGCTATTCGAGATCTTAACTAATCCTCTATGAAAAAGTAAATCACCTTGAGTGCATATTTCTTGTTATTCTTGGAACAAACGTATACAGCACCGAAGGCGCCTTCCCCAAGTTTCCCATCAATCTTCCATCCTTCCACAATACTGCCAATTTCAAGTTGTACTAATTCTCCCATCTAATTCCAAAAACACTCACAAATCTCCTTTTAAAATTAACGATTTGAAAAGACGAAATGGTAATATAAAACACTTCCAAATTAATGCTGTTACCGACCCGTTATACCCCAGACCTACCGGCTTCTTGCAATTAAACAAATTAACAATGGAATCCGGATAATTATTACTAGGAATATATTGCTTTAATATTAAGTTAACTTTGAAAATAATTTTAATAGTTTAGCAGTTATCACGATCTTTGGACCTTCAGTTAAGATTGTTGTGAAAGGTTTTTCTGCAAAGAAATATTAAATAAAAAAAGTAAAAAAAAAAGTGATAAAGGCAAGCTTATGTGAATCCCTTTGGTGGTAATCCAACACAAACAAATTAATAGTAAGGTTTATTATTATATCAGCGAAATAATAATAAAAGAATATGTAGAAAAGGTCGTAGTATTAAACATGTTTAGGAAGGATCCAAAGATAAGGTATCAAAATAAATCTGTTTCAAGATTGAAGTGCGGAAAATTATTAGGAAGTTGAACTGAGTAAAAGAATCACCTTATAATATGAAGGGTAAGTCTTTATGAATTACACAAATAAAGTGGCATATAAGATGGATACAAGATCTTTACAATATTCCAGCTACTACATATAAGTTATTTATATATAAGATTAATCCTCAGGTAAAAATTTTATGAAAAATAGATAACCGACTCACTACTTTAGGAGATTTTCTAAATAACAAATAGTTGTTTGCTTTAACATATTCCAAAATTTGTCGGTTTTCCAACAAAGGTTGCCCATCATTACTAATTTGATGTACTGTTTAACCGACTTGAATATAAGATGTATACGACTTGAAATAATGAATATAATGAACGTACTAGTTACTATCAAAAATTTTGCTGTCATTAATAAGACTTAGCATAGCTTAAAAATTTAAATTGAACATCTCAGATACATTTAAAATTTTTAAAATCCACATTATGTTGTGTTTCAACCTTTTCAGTTTTATCTTTTAATGACATTTGAATTTCTGAAAAGACGTCATGGCCTTTGCTGTGATATATTGTACTTCACGCTTTCTATCCCTTCGCATCAAGATGTATTTTTTTTTTAATTTGAATGGTTAAAACTTTTCACGCCAAAAACTTCCCTTTCATCATGTGATTGGTCGTAAAATCAGAGGTTTAAACAATTTTGTAGCTCGTCTCCATTTTACAATGGTAAGAGAAATATATCCGATATGCGTCCTCGATTTAATGCATTCTCTCCATTACATTTTGACATTTCAACAACTCATAATTCCAAAATATTTGGAAAAGTTACTGTGAAATTTGCGCATGCCAAGCTGATTCATATTGCTGAGACTAAAACTTCGGGCCACTGGTTAAAATGCAAGATGATAGAAATTATGAAAAACAGATATGGAATATGGGATAACTGCTAAATTAAATTTTTTGTAAATTCGAATTTTTTCGGTCCCTCACAAATTCTCTTAATTAATTTGAAACTGATTCCAGCTGCTATTTTTGAAATAACTTTACCAGAGTTGTTTGGTATTTCTTATGAGTTAAGTAAATTACATGAATGCCAATAAATTATCGCTGCCTTTAAAGCTTGGCTACAACTTACTAAATCATGGCCGAGAATTTTTAGAACCATAAAACTTGAAAGATTGAAAATGCACTTATATCCTTTGCATTAAGTATATTTAAGTGTACTGTTTTAAATTCAAAAAGACTTAGATAAAAATTTAAAATTCTTTTGCAGTTGGAGCAAATTAGAGTTTTTGAAAACCGATTTTTTAATTTTATTTTGATCAAACAAATATTGTGAGTAAAAAATTCTCTTTGCGAAAGAGGAGTAAATCCTGATTAGGAATAATCAGAAAAGATGATCGTAGCGAAAACGAGTTTGCAGAAATAATACTAAATATGTTAATCGGCTAGATATTAAAATTTCGAACCGGAATCACAACTAGTGCTTATTTTGTAGTTTCGTTGGAGTTTAATTTATTTTACAGTGATAGGAATTTAAATATAATTAACTTCGAACCTACACTGCTTTCTTTATAATTATTCACTTGTTTAATTTAATTGCTTTTCCAAAGTGCTCAAACTGTCAGCATTTGTAATGCGAGGATTTTCAGATGACCAACGAGCCAAACATGAGTCATATCAGCTTTAGAAGATTTTAAAGGTCTTCCTTTCAAATGACTGTCTCATGTCGATGAAATGCGACAATAATGTCAAAAGCAGATTTTCATCAGTGTAAACATTCGGACTGATGTTTTCGTCATATGTGAAAGGAAGAGTGAAAATAGCCATTCAGAATATTTGCAATAAATCCGTATATCCACAAACCAAAATAGATTTGAAATGGGTGAGCTGTAAAAACTACAGGAGATAATGAAAGGGAAAGATGAACATAGCGATAGAGCCCAAATTATTTTTATTGAACCAGATTTTTCAGTTCCATTCTCTGTGAAATGAAATGCCATTAAAATTTGAAAGGTTGAACTAAAATATTCATGTCATAAAGACCGCCATATAAACTGTTGTCAGACTCTACTACTAATTAATTTGTCAGAAGGTCCAAAAAACTTATTTAAATTTAAAACACAGTTCACCGAATTCTTGGAATGGAATCAACAATCATTTCATATACAATCCAATATTCCATAATATTGTAGTGGTGACTAAGATTAGTCGTGCTATCACTGTAGCCTTCAACCTTAAAGTCTATATGTCAGCACAGCGGAGAATTCTGCAGTTTTGCCAAAGTTAAAAATTTTTAGAATTGCCAATAAACTAATTGATTTTTTCCTAAACTGGCATTTATTCTGAAATTGCAAAAGATTTGTTGACCCAAAATATCTACATGCTGATCGGTAAAAGTTGTTTTGGAACGTTGCAGGCGAATACTGTCACAGACATTGCTATTTTGGCCATAATTATAGGCCATAATTTTATACAATATAGTACGATTGTCAAATCCAATAAAATTTCCGATTAATGTTTGATGACTTTTGTCACACATTGTAATGAACCAAATTTGACGACAATCGTAGGACAGTGTGGTTATACTTGCATTTTATCCTAGGCTGTTATTTCGGAACGTTTTAACTATGTATGCAGTTATTTCAAAATTGAGGAAGTATGTAGTACAAAGTAGTGCCTTACAATGTTTATATTCAAATCAACAGTTCTTCTTTTCCAACATTGCATTGATTTAAGTCTTGTGTGTTGAATTTCATTCGAAAAAAGAAAAATCATTTGTTTATTGAGTTGGTAAGACATGTGTAAGATTCGTGCACTTTTCCTCATTTGGAATTGAATTTCAATTCCAATATTGACGAAAGTTTTCAAAATTTTATAAGTCCCTTCATAGAACTGATAGTTTTCCACTCATAATGCTTTGATTTAATTATTTGAAAATTTTGGTCGTCCTCTTTGCTTTTGGATCAGATTTGATGAAAAATTATGTTGTAGCTTGCATAGCATGACGATGATAATTTATGTCTTAATGATTATGAAATCCTACCTTTTTTGACCATAACCGACCAGTGATTTATACTTTCAAAGTTCCACCAACTGCAATGCTTTGTATGTCTAATAAGAAATAGAGGAAATACTCAGGCTACTTACTTATAGACTAAATCACATTTCAATTGCAGTGTTTTAATTAAGAATTTTCAAAAGCTTAGTCGGTGTTAATCCGTTGGCTGACTATAAAACGGGTCAATTTACTACACATCAAACGATTACATACTCATTACAGTTTGGTTGTAATTTTTTTATTTTCACTAGATCACTTAATGAAATTAACGGGAGAAAGAAGAATTAACGATAAAGCTTGTAAAGATAAGAGTAAGTACCTCTCAGAATAAACGAGAAATGCAGATTTTTTTACATGTAATGGTAAGTATAGAAAGTAATGAAGATATACTATTTGTCTTAGTTATAAGCGATTATGTGAAGTTCAATCAGCGATGGATGTTTGGAAATTTGTATGGAAGTATCGAATACATTCCGGACATCTAAATGTGATCAGTATTATGCATACAGTATCCCACACTCCAATGCTTGATTTCTCTTCCCATCGTAATTCACTTTAATGAATGTCATTATTACACTTTGAGAAATCAATTCGGTTCAAAAATCAATGCGCGACCCATTTCATTGCTATAAATAAACAAAACTGAGGATCGCATTAGTTCAGAATCTTTGCTAATCTTAATCAGTAGAATTACAAGGTTAAGATATTCAGCATGAAACTTCAAAAGATTTATGCAACCTGATCATTTCACATATTTTTTTGCATGAGTTTGATAGGTTAGCAGCAAATGTGCAAATGGTAGAGTAACACTGGCCATCAGAAAGTCCTGGAAAAATGTAATCCATTCTTTATGTTCTGTGCCGTCAATGAAAACATTCACGTTTTCATTGGCAAAAGGGAAGAAGTGAGGTTTAAGAGGAAAGAACAAGATTTTCTGATCACCATATATTGTATTTCAAATGCCATGAAATTTATGCAAATTCACCGGTACCATTCGTCTATCACCCATTCTACCACCATTTAACAATTAATCATCGCTGTACGACAATGCAATTTTTAAAAATGTAATTACACATTTGTAATACCAAACCTGAAGGCGAATTCAGCTGACTTCTATTGCTCTGTCTAAAAATTGCATCTCGTATCAAAGGTCATAGGACAATCTTTTGTTTTGCATTTTGAAAGAATCACAGTTTTTGGTTGCCAAATAATTTCTAAAGCTTCATTTTAGATTGTGAAAGAATTAGTGCAGTTGTTATCTTATTAACTTAAGACCTTTGAAACTAAAGACTGCAACTTACAGAATGAATTTTTGAGGATGGCTTAATGACATTGTAACCGACATCTATCACTTGACATTTCCTGAGCCATTCCGTATTGAACTTTATCGAAATATATTGATCAAAGTATTTAACAGTTGTTATCCCACTTTAAATTGAATTCATTTCCATTTTCATTTTCCGTTTCAATTTCAAGTAACTATTTCTATTTCCAACTCAACGAAGATAACTCCTTTTCATACATGCAACGGATAGATAGTAAAAGACGACTATCTATTCAATCAATAAATGATCACCTTTTATTTCCGTTACAAACTTCATCATTAGGCATTTACTATTACTTGAAACTTTCCCAAAAGAAACTGGCGATTTCAAAAATCGCTGATCCATCACATTCAAATGTTTATTGTAAATTTTAATTTTAAATACAGCGATTCGTTTAAGGACCGCCCTGCAAGCTAGTGGACAATGGAATGGTAAGGGACGGGAAAGATTGATGAAAATCGCATATAAATTGCCGGCCTGCCTTTTCGGTAAGCTGTCTGTCCAGTTTCCCTTCTCGAACCTTTTTAGTAGGAAATCCTCACTGTCATCAGTAACAGTTGCAAATACTGGACAATGTCCATCAATATACTACCACTTTCCTGCATCCTGATTCTACTTATACCTGTCTCATTTTCGGTAATTTTTTTCTCCAGAAATATTTTAAATAATTATGGGAACTTGTTTAGTATAATTTTACCAAGTATTATAACTTAAAAAAATAACTGTACCCCTCAAGTTCTAGCTATCGCAATCTGTGCAAACAAAATTATGCTTGGAAAAAGGCTTTGATTATTTCTTTTCCTGAAAGTGACGAGATTTTTTCCCGATTCTTCCCTGATCCTCATTCTTTTCTAACGACCATTCATGATACTATAAGACCAGGTACACTTTTACCTACCACAGTCCATGGAAAGAAATTCCTATTGTCAAACAACTCATCTGTATTTGCAGTGTCTTGCAAACGGTGTATGCGCTCCTGGTTTTGGCGGTTGCCATCCTCAGATTCAGCAGCACCAAGCAACATGCCAACCGCCGTGTGCTCCAGGCTATCATTGCGGGCCATACGGTTGTACACTATTACGAACACGGGCTCATGGCACAAATCTTTTCAAACCAGATTCGAAGAATGAAGAATCAAAAGTAGGCTTGGAAAAGCACAGAAATTTCGCGATCACTTTACTCTTCTTAAATTTAAAATAATTTATTAAGAGAATAGGAACAGAGCCAAATATATTAACAGAGATCTGAATCTTTTTGAATATTCAACTAATCAGTGTGAAAATTTGATGTAACTTTTGTAATCACAAATTACAGAGTCCTAATCAGTTGTTCATGGAATGCTGTGAAAGCAGAAGACTTTCAAAAGCTTGCTTGCAAAAGTGTTCAATTCAAGATTACACCAAAGATGCGGTACTTCACATAATGACTAAAACAAAAATATAATTTAAAATCTAATAACTTACCGGAATTAAGGTTGAGTTTTGATCTTGTCTGAAAATCAATACAAATAATCTAAGCTACTGAAGTTTGAACTAAATCATTGGATCCTGTGTTAGACAGAAGTAAGTCCTTTGTAAAACTGTCTCGTCCAACTATGATTTCCAATTTTGCTCTCAAAACAAGACCTCAACGGGATGTTACAAATCGATACATTATTTGTCAAGTAGGAACCTTTTCTTGAAAAACTGTTAAATACTAAGATTCTATTGACGTGCTCAAACAGTGTCTCTTTAAAAAATATGTAAGTTTTGGAATGAATGCTTATTTGTTTCATTATTTCAACCATTATTGCAGATTGTATAGAAGGAGGATTTATATTAGAAAATAGATGGATGATATGCTTCCGGATGTATACAACATGTTATTTTTTAAGATGAAGCAGTTTTAGTTAATCAACACTGAATTTAATCTTTCTAATTAAATTTTTGTCAGAAAAACTCCTTGTATTGCTTAGTTTTTTGTTAATTTTTTCGATCGGAACAGCAAGCAAATCATGATTGAACAGTTTTTTATTATCCTATTCACCGATAGTTATTTATGTTTCAGTTGATAAATATGTACTTCAATCGTGATCCGTGTCCAGTCTCTGCTGTTGCAGAAATACAATTTTGTGCTGCACAAGGACGCGATCATCGTCAATGCTGCGCTCGAAATGGTAATATTTTTTTGCATTTAAATTTAGCTTTATCATTCGACAGTATACCTTTTGATATAATTGATTTAAATTCTACATTATTTCAATATGTCAAAATTCAACTGATATTTTGTTTCTGCTCACTGGCCAAGTATAACACTGCATAATTAGGGCAAGAAAAAAATGCAGAAACTGAAATTTTCTTTCACTTCGAAAAAGAAAACGAAAATCAAGTTAATTGAAAAAATTATTATTACTTGACGCTTTACAGAATAAATGAATTATTCATCGGTTTACTCATTTTTCGCTTTTATTAGTGAAAATCCTGGAATTTCAATAGGTAATCTCTGTAATAGTTTGAATTGTGATATGGTTATGTGTTAAAAAGGAACTGAGAGCTCGTATTAATTTTAAATTTTGGAAATGAACTAGTTTTAATCGAAAACATTACTTACTATATCTCAAAAATGATTACAGATAGGTTACAATATTCATCTCAATATAATGTATTGTGGAATTATGAAGATAGAAAATGATCAGAAAAAATTTAGCATAATTGATTTAATGAAGCGGTGAAAATCATTTAAAATCAAATTTATTCTTGAAGTTCAAAATTAAATCCACTTAAATTACATTTGCTTTCTTTCTTGTTTCTCTCTCTTCTTGTCGTTATGAAGAGTGATATACTGTATTTTCAGATTCCCCTGAATCCTTTTTTCCTAGGTCCTACTAAGAAGAACGTCCTTCTGTGCCATTACAACAACCCTCTCATTATCAAACTCCTCTAGAGGAAAAAAATCTTTTTAATAATCTTTGGTAATTGTATTTGTAGTTCAGTCAACAATTTTTGCTAATCACAATGCCTTTTATTCAAGGAGTTGGAACAACATTAGCTGGTGATAAGTGCTTAATATTCTGTGACCAACGTCCAGGGAATATCACACAGTTGGACTACAGTTATTTAATTTGCTACGATCGTTTTGAGAGTATCAAAAGCTGTTTCTGGCATGATATGACACAGAACTCTTTGCAACGATTTTCGCGACTTTTTTAATTTGTTGTACTACCTTATCAAATTTTTATAATTTCCAAATTATGTTAATTACTTCCATGTTGCATTATTCACGTACTTCTAAACCCTGTTTATTTATCATTTTTTAAGTTGTCATGATCACTGTTTACAGAAAGAAAATTCAATTTTATGATGAAATAGTGATTTTGAAGAAGGAAAGTTCAGGCTTTCAAATTTAATGACACAATTTTAATTTGAAAATATTCCAAAGGAATTGATCCTTTTTAAAATCAAATGATTAAAAAAAGTTCGATACAGTTGAAGCTAATATGACCAGTAATTTACTGAAATTAAAACAAAGTGAAATATTGATTTTAAAGCAAATTTCAGTCTTGGATTTTACATGGCAAGAAATGAAAATGTTCTCATTTATACCAGTCCTCCCAGTTTGCTTTAAGTCCGATTCTAAAGATCATTTGTTTTTGTCCTGCTACGTAAAAAATTTCCCACGCTTTTCCTCAGAATTATGATATGATATCTATATTAATTGTCCTTTACCGGATCAGTTCTGTTGTTTTTTTTCAAGGAAAATTGCAAATTTTCCACATTTCGGAAAACTTTTGACGGGAACTGATATCTCAGTTTAAGGTTTTATAAGGAGTAAAACAAAATTTATGCGAAACTACTTCACCTTAATTTCATGAGTATAAAAATTATTATCTTCTTCAAATTCTTCATGCTTTAGGAAGTTTTTCTGGATATGAGTATTTAATTACTTTCTAATTTTTCGAAAAGTTTTTTTTTAATTTTGTTTCGAAAAGAGGAAAAATAAAGCGAAACTTAACTCATAATGATAGCTAAGAAAGAACCCTTGACTTTCCAACATTTCTCTGCCATTAGTCTTCGAACTTAGAGGTCTAATTTAAAAACTAACTTCATTCTGACATTATTGAACATACGAATTAAATCAAATTAAAGGAGAACTTGAATGATATTGACTTTTGATTTTATTACAAAAATCGACAGAGCTGTCAATGACTTAAAAAAGCACCGAGGATGATAGAAGAATGTCACGCTTCTCATTGCCTATGTCTTTCATTTTAATTTTTCTGTACTTTGAGAGAAACTGTAGAAGTTTTTAATAGAATTAACAGAGCCAGCCTGTTTGAGAAAAGAAGTCAATTTTCAAGAACTGAACTGAAAACGAAAATAGAACAATTGCATGACATGCTTTTCTTCTATTTCATTTCTCAATTAAATGTTAAACATTAGTAGTTTGGGAGAAAAAGGACCTATGGTACTAACCAGTTTAAAAGTCAATATTTACAGTGACGTTTAAATTCACCTTTTTTAAGATATGTCCAAGAAATAAGAGTAGGCTTAGAAGATAAATTGATTACATCGCTATACTTTGAGAAGAATAATTTAGCCAATATGAAGAAATTTGAGGGAAGAAAGTTTGCTGAAAGGAATCATGTCCATACAAGCGTTTAGTCTTGGTTAATTCAATTCATAGACAACAGCCAAATTCATAGAATTGGGTAATGAATTGTAAATGAGTCGAAGAATTATACTCCAATTGAAATAAAGTGAAGGAATATTCCTGCCATTTGACCTTTAACCTGACACGCACAAAAGAAAGATTAGAGTGCAATTCATAATGGTTTTTTTAAGACTTTTACGCCAAAGGAATAAAAGACAAGAAATGCTGCGTGTTCCATGCAGCAGAAGTAAATGTCGAAATCAAACCTCTTTATTTTATTGACAAAGTCGAGATACTCAAAAAAAAAGATGTGAAAATTTCCATTTCCGGGGAATCACCACGAACTATCGATGCGCATTTTTTGCAGGGAACTGTGTAAATTTTGCAACCGTTTTCTGTCAACCCTTTTCGATGGTGACAAATGACCGATTTAATAAAAAGTAACCACTTTTTGAAGTGTATGTTCGCCTATCACCTATATATATCCTATATATATATATATATATATATATATATATATATATATATATATATATATATATATATATATATATA